AGATTTCCATGAGTATCAGAGACTTTGAACTGTGTGTTTTTAACAGTGTTGAGGCTGTGATTGGACTAAATGCAGTTTGTTTGATGATATGGCTCTAAGCCTATGGGGGCCGTGGAGGCGAATGTTGTAGTTTGAGTGAAAATGGCCCCCATAGGTTCATAGGGAGAGGCACTACTTAACAAGAATTATGAGGTGCTGCCTTCTTGGAGTAGGTTTGACTTTGTTGGAAGAAGTTTGTCACTGGAGGGTGGGCTTTGACTTTAGCCCAGGCCCAGAACTCCGTGGCTCTTTCTCTTCCTGCTTCCTGCAGATCTGGATGTAGAACTCTCAGCTACCTCTTCAGTGCAGTATCTGCTTGCATGCCTATCATGATGCCCACCATGCTGGCAACGGGCTAAACCCCTAAACCTGCAAGCAAGATGCAAGTAAATGTTTTCCTTTACAAAAGTTGCTGTGGTCATGATGTCTCTTCACAGCAATGGAAACCCTAACTAAGAGACATTCTGCAATACTTTTTTATTTTTTAAATTTTCATTTTAAATATCTATTTATTTATTTATTTTTATGAGTATAGGTGTTTTGCCTGTGTGTATGCCTATATATTGAGTGCTTGCTTAGTCTCTGTGGAAAACAGAAGAGGACACCGAATCCCTTGGAACTGGAGCTACAGACTGCTGTGAGCCATACTGTGATTGTTGAGACTAGAACCCTAAGAAGAAAAATGGAGAGAAGGAGAGAGAGAGAGAGAGAGAGAGAGAGAGAGAGGTTAGTAATCTTAACCACTGACCCATCCCTACAACTCCTCATATTAAGAATCTTGATACACAGTCTTAATAATTTGCCCTATAGGGCCTTGAATTTGTTCAGTAATGTAAGGTCACGGACTTACCATCCTCCTGCCTCAGCTTACCAAATAGCTTAGCTACAGACACACATCTTCTCATTTTCACTAAGTTCAATGTTTCACTTCCCTGCAGGCTTCCTCTTTGGTCCATGAACTGCTCAGAATTGAGTTTCAGCATTTTGAAGTCCGTCGAGAAACATACCCCACCTCCCTCTGGCGCTGAGGTCTGCTATGTGCTCCATGACCCTGGTGGACACTTCCCTCACACTGTCAGTTTTTTGTAGTGTGTCCATACCACCACTAGGACAAGTTGCACACTGTTGTTGCATATTGTGTGATGTATAAAAGGACTGTGGGTAGCACTGCATTGGTGAGGAGAGTTCACAGCTGTGGGGTGAGAGCGAGGCTGAGGCCTTCGGTGTCCCTGCTTGTTTTCGGTGATTGGTGGGGGGGGGGCATCTCCAACCCTAAATGTGGAGATCTCTCTCTCTCTCTCTCTCTCCATCTCTCTCCATTTCTCTCCCCGCTTCCAAGTTCTATTTCTCTGCCCTGTTGACTGCTCTGTTAACCTTTGGGATGGTAGCTCCTCCCCGAGGAATGGCACACCTGTCCTTTTACGCTGCCCCTCATTATCCCATTAATTTTGCTTTGTTCTAGGTTTTGCATTAGTTGATGTTACATCTTGTTAGATTAAAGTTGACCTACGGCAGCTCTATACTTTTACACCCAGTTCACCTCTCTCATCACTTTTAACGTAGATCCCTTGTAGACAACTGTTGTAATATGAGCAGCGGGGCTGCGAACCCAGTACCCCGGTCACCAGGCTAGCTTATGCCCCGAAATAACAACACACAAATTGTATTCTTTTAAACACTGCTTGGCCCATTATATCTAGCCTCTTCTTGGCTAACTCTCGCACCTGGACTAGCAGATTTCTAATAATGTGTAACACCGAGGTGCGCTTACCGGGAAGATTCTAGCCTACGTCCATCCTGGGTCAGAGCTTCATCGCGTGTGCCTCAGAGAGCACAGCTATCACGTCTACCCGGGAGAGGGGAGCATGGCATCTCTGAGCTCACTTCCTCTTCCTCCCAGCATTCTGTTCTGTTTACTCCTCCCACCTATGTTTTAACATATCAGGGCCAAGCGGATTCTTTATTGCTTAACCAATGAAATCAACAGATTGATATATGACACTCCCACATCAGACAACAATAGCCATCATATGGTTTCAGCCCTCTGGACTAGTCCTGCATTGTGTTTGATGGATTTTGATCATTTGCATTTAATGTAACTATTGATCAGTTAGGATTGATTTTAAGGGCAGTTATAGCACAGTACTACAAACTGTATGATTTAAAATACAGAATTGTGGACATAGGATGAAACTGGGTGGTAAGGTACACCAAAGCCTGTGCAAGGCCTGGGGTAGGTCCCAGCACTGCTATCAGAACAAAACCAGAAACCTACAAATATATTTTTGATCAGTTCTGGAGGCCAGAAGCCTGGCATCTAGTAATATTTTAAGGTCATATATTCTCTTTTTAATGAGAAAGTTAGCATTGGGAGCAACTAGGACTTGGCTCTCCTGAGGACCCTATGAGACACAAGTGGGACATTTCATGTTATCTCGGGGTGGGAGGAGCCCAGCCCCACTATCCTCTCAGTTTCCATCCATGCTGACAATGTATCAGCCAGGTTTTCATCATCGCCTCAAACACACGAGAGGACAACTTAAAGAAGAAGGAGTTATTTTGGCTCCTGGTGTCAGAGGTTCTGCCCACGATGGTTTGGTCTCATGGCCGAGGGCCTGTGGTGACTAGAACATCATGGCAGAGAAGGTTAAGTGGAACAGCTGGCATCTCGTACCGTCAAGAAAGCAGAGAGGAGGACAAGGTGTTCTCCATGACTAATTTCAACCAACCCTGGCCTCGGTTTGCAGTCTTTTCAAATAGGGCTGTCAGCTGGGACTAAGCCTTCCGCACAAGAACCTGTGGGGGAAGCTTCAGACACATTCATGACAGTGTGGTTTTCAACCTCACACCTGCCCTTCAAGGCTGGGGGTCAGAGAACATAAAAGGGAGGTGCAGACACTAGACTGGGAAGCTGCTAGTCTCTCTGGTGTTAAGAAATGTCAACCACAGTGGCAGGGGACAGTAAGGGTCACCCATCAGCATTTTCAGCTGGAGCCACGCCAGCACTGACACTTCAGGTTTCAAATAGAGTCCATTCCACAATGCAATAGCAGCTATGAGCTGCCACCTTAGTTTAGTCATCCCAAGGAACATAACTGGAAACCTTGAGACAAACCAGGTGCCAAGACTCAGGCGAGAGAAATGGATAATGAGAGCCACCTGGCAAGTTCCAATGACCTCCAGCAGAATGACGGCGTCCCTGGCTCTGTCAATCACAGGCATATTGTTCTCCTCTGATTCAGGGAATCAAACACAGGAGCCTGTGTTGTGAGCTGCTCAGAGGAATGAATCAAACATGATAATGAAGGACAAGTTGTTAGGTTCAGAGACCCTGCACCCCTGAGTGGGAAATGATAGCCTGTTTTGTAATCTCTGGTCTTAAAGCCCTCCCCACTCACACCCAGAATGTGAGGCCTCCTGACCAACACCTTCTATAGTGAGGTCAAGACTTGGGCCATGCCAGCTCCTCAGCATAAGCCAGGGTGAGTCAGAGGGTGCTCATTAAGATTGTTTGTGGATACTTGAGCCTGTCCACCTTTGGTCCAGACAGGCACAGCGATACCATTGTGGGACCAGCACCCATCTCCTGAGCCTTTGAGTGTAGACAGCCACACAGAAAATGAAATCCTTCTCCAGACCTGACCTTCTAGGTTTCAGGCAGGTGGCCAAGTTCAGGAACTGCAGAGTGGGGAGTGGAAGGCACAGTTCCTACAAAGAAGGAAGCTGGGCAAAGGCCTGGAGCCAGGCAGACATCATGAATTCAGAACACAGGTTGACACATGGGGTCATGGTGGTTTTTGCATCATTTACCGAAAAAAAAAGAGTGTGATCGGGCCATGTGGAGAGCCTGTGGGTGCTCAGCGCTAACAAGGAGGGAAGCTGTGGACTCCAGAGGAACGAAGTTCATTAGCAGCATAGGGGTGGGCTGAGGTCAGGCTGTGATGGATGCTGGTTCTTCATCCCATCTCAGGGCACAAGATGGCAAGAAATGAACACACATGGACCTCAGTTGCACCTGGGAAGCCCTGGCTCTGAAATGTCCTCTCAGCAGGTCCTCAGATGACAGAACAGAAGAAGGCCAGTGCCCTTTGCGGGAGATGAATCCCCTTGAGCTCACAGAGGTGAAGCCTCTTTACCTGTCCCTTCAGGGGACAAATATTCTTGTGTGGTTGGAATTCTTCATGCAGCCAACTTAAAATCATGTGAACTATGGATACAGAGCCCTAACTGGTGGTTGAGGAGATGGCATTGGTCGAGCAGTGAAAAGGACCAGGACATCGGAAAATAAGGAGTGCCCTGCAGAGCGCACAGCTGGGTCAGGGTCATGGTGTGGCCTAGTGTGGCAGGGGGTCTGCCCTGATGCTGTTCCAAATGACAAGAGTCGGGAGTCCGTGCCACCACTTACAGGAAGATCCAGCTGGGATATCCATGCACGAAAAGGACTATTAAGTGGGCTCCCTAACGGCAGCGGCCAGGCCATCTAGGGACTAGCAACTGTGTCTGGTGGGGTAGCTCAGCCCCATTCACTGCACAGGAGGTCAGAATCCAGATCTCAGTGGACACAGCTCAGGGCAGCCATGGCAGATGGAGGGCAGGGCTGTAACGGAAGCCTGGCCCTCCCTCCCTGCCCAATGAGCAACCTGTCTGCCCCTGAGTCACCTGTCTTCCCAGGGTCCTTTGTGAGCACAAGTCTTGGTGGCTCAGACATTGCAGGACATTGTGTGTCTTTCTTTGTCTGTGGGTGACATTGCGTTCATTGTCATCAGATCCCAACAACAACAACCTTCCACCTCCATGATGGATGTGGATTTGGCCATGAGAGAAGGACAGGAGGGACGTGGTCAGTGCCAAGTGGGCACACATCCCTGGCCACGGGGGATATAAAGGGCACTGTGTGAGCAGCCAGAGCAGACCTTCTCCAGATGACCTGCCTTGTGTGAGAGCCCAGCTAGCGACTGAAGATGAAGAGCCTGCTCTTGACCTTCACACTTCTGGGGCTGGTGGCTGTCCTGAAGGCCCAGGAAGTTCCATCAGATGACCAGGAGGATGTGAGGAGGGGAACGTCAATGGGGAGGGATGGGATATAGGTATGTCCTTTGCTTGGTGCTGGTAGATTTGAGCTGAGGTGCAGCATGTTTCCTTGAAGGTTGATTTTGACCTTGCACTGAGCAGTCAGAACTGGGCTTCCACTATTCTAACAAAAGATAGGTGGCCTCCTGATATGGGGGTTTAGAACAGAAATCAGATTTTGGTGAGGGCTTCTTGTTCACATGATACCCAGAGCTAGAAGGCCTCGTAGACAAGGGCATTCAGCCAGTGCTGAGGTGTAGGCCTCAAGAGTTTAGGTACATTGATGGGGAGCACACACTTTCTACCATCGTGGGGTAGGGTATCTAAAGCACTGGTATCTATTTTCTTACCAAGGTCCTGGAATACAGGGTTAGCCTTTCTCAGTGGCTGCAGCCTGGGCCCTGAGTGTCTACTCAGGTGCTAGCCCATATGCTGAAACCTGGATAGGAAGAGGGCCATGATTGGGCATGTGCAAAGCTTTGTCTCCTGCAGTACTCTGGAACCTGGTATCCAAAGGCCATGATACACAATGGCAGCCTATTCAGTCACAAGATACCCTCAAAGGTTTTCCCTGTGAAGATGACAGCCTTGGAAGGAGGAGACCTGGAGGCCGAGATTATATTCTGGTACGTGTCCCCAGCTGTGGGCCTCCTTAGTTGTCTGTCTCTCCCTTGCTATCCATGCTATGTTTTGAGTTTGGGAAACTAAGTGATCCCAGACTTTGAGGGGACACAGTCCCAAGCAGTGTCCAAAAGCAGGAACATGGAATTTAGGAGATCACCTGACCAGGGCTGATTCACCAAAAGAACTGAGATGCTGCGCTGTGGTGCTGAGAGCAGGCTGACTGTGGACTTGTGTTTACAGGAAGAACGATCAGTGCCATGACGTTAAAATCCTGATGAAGAAAACTGATGAGCCTGGCAAATTCTCCTCCTGTGAGTCCCTGTGTCTTAGGGTGTCCTTCAGTGGCAGCCCTTGGATAGATGGGTCCTCGCCTGGTCCAGCTTGTAGGACAGGCCATCCACTCACTTTCTCGTACCAGATATAGAGGTTGTTGTGTAGTCAACTCTAGAAACTGACTGTCTGTTGGTCTCCTGCCTAGATCTCAGCTCTTGACCCATGAGAAAACCATGCTAAAGATCAGAAAGACAGGCAGGGAGATGGATGCTCAGGCCTGGGTCCAACCTCAGCCCCCTTCTCTGAACATCTTAGTTGGCCTTGACATCTTCCAAGAAATGAGTCCTGTCTAACTATGGAGATGATGGAAAGGCCAGGGCTAGACTAGACAAGTCTCCTAGGTGACCACCGAAGTGTTCCAAGGTGTTCCCTCACATGGGCTGCAATGGTGCCTCAAGGATAAGACACGAAGAGCTATTTCTGTTCACGTGCAGTTGACGACAAGAGGTTCATCTATATCACAGAGCTGCCGGTGAAGGACCACTATATCTTCTACTGTGAAGACCGCCTCCCTGGAAAGTTGTTTGGTGTGGGAAAGCTCATCGGTGAGGTGCCACGGAGGCCCTAAGTCCTGTGTCTGGTCTCTGCTTCCACCAGACATGCCTGGCACTGAGGACTGGGAATTCTCTTGGTGCTGTGCCCAGGGTACTGCCCAGGAAATGTGTGAGAAGGACCGTGGGGGTTTTGTGCCCTTTGGAGATCTGAGGACTCAGGAACGGTCTCCACCCCAGAAGCCAGCAAATGCCACTTCCAGGGAATCTCAGTCAAAGGTCAGGTCAAAGGGAATGTCTTGACAGAAGTTTTTATGTATGTAGTGATCCCCCAGGGTAGGGAACAGCCTCATGCCCCTTAGATTCAGGGCTCTTACAGGTCTGTGGAGTGACCTGTAAGTCTGCAGAGGTTCTCCCTAGGGCCACAGGGTCCCTCATTGTCTGGGTGTCCATACCCAGTTCTTTGTTAACCACTAGGGTCCTCTATTAACCTTTGTGTAGGTTAATGCTCCTGTCCCTGTGTCTCTGGCTCTCTACAGAGCTGAGCCTCACCCCTTAAGCCTGTCCCACCTCCACACAGGGAGAAACCCTGAGGAAAACCCAGAGGCCATGGAAGAATTTAAGAAATTTGTACAGCGTAAGGGACTCAAAGTGGAAGACATCATTGTACAAGAGTTAAATGGTGAGAACAGGACTGTTCATGCCTCTCCTTGTGTCCCCTATGTCACTGCTACCTGTATGGGCACCCAACCATGTCTGTCTCTGTGCTTCTGCGTCCTCTCTGTGCCGGGTCTTATTGTCCCTTTCGTGTTGTTTCATGTCTGTCCCTGTCCCCTGTGTCTCTGTGGTATCTCCATCATTTCCTCAGGGTCACAATGTCACATTCTGTGCCTCTGTCCCTCGGTTTCCTCATGTACCTCCAAGTCTCCTGTGCTTCTGTCCACTCTCTCCCTTGCTCTCTCTGGATCCCTGGTTTCTACACTGTACTTTCAAGGTCCTGTCACCTCTCCCAGGGTTGCCAGGCTCTGCCTCAGGTCTTGGCTGCAGGAGGATATGATCCTCAGGTGTGATGTGGTCCTCTACAGGGCCCTTTTCACTCCTGGGCTTCTTTTGGTTTCTACAGAGCACTGTGTGCCAGAAAGCGACTAGGGTAAGTCTCCCCCTACCCTGACCCACTTGTAGGAATGTGGAGAAGTCTAGAATGTGGGGCTCAGGAAGCCCTGGTCCTCATCCCATCCCCACAGACAGGTGCTGTCACCAGGGAGGTGGCCCTGAATGTAGTTTCCAGGACAGCTAGGAAGTCCTTCCTTTTTGTCATGATCTCTCCTAGTCCCTGGTCTCTTCCTTGCCCTGTTCTTCCCATTCTCTCCAGGGAGGCAGAGACCTGGCTGCTCATGGGAGTGGTGAGGGATCTCTTCAGAGGACCCCAGCTCCTAGCAGGGACCACACAGAACCATGGGGAAAGAGATCTCAGTCCCATATGTGCCCTGGGCCATCCCTGTCCATGACTCCCGTAACTGCTGCTCCTACAGAATTGAGGGGAATTATCTCTCTTCTCTCTGTCACAGCAGCTACCCAGGTCTGCACCTGCTGAGCAAGCCTTGCTGCCCAAACCTGACTGGGACATCTCTGTACCACACCTATCCTGGACCAATCTCCCCACTGCTCCTCCCCCACACCTTCACCTCCCCTCTCCCTACTGACACCAAATAAAGCCCTTTAGCAGTCCTCTGGCTCAGCCTGTCTATGAGGGGCCTTGGGTGGGCTTGAAGAGCCCTGCTGGCAGCAGAGACATGGGAAAAAGTACAGCAACATTGATGGGCTGGTGCCCAAGGAGCATGGCATCTGACTTTCCTGGAGAACCATGTGAGGTCCTAGAGCCCCACCTGGTGAGCCACTGGCTGTCAGGCTGGACCCTATCAGGAGTGTCTGAGAAGCACCTGGGGAAGAGGGCTGTGAGGGGTCATCAGGGCTTTTGGCAGTGTGACTGTCACCACCAGGCTCCTAGTCCAGGAGAAAGACCCCTGCCTGAGAAGCCTAGCTCAGTGACAGGGTGGAGCTAGGGTGGGTAGCTTCCCCATCATGTCCCTTCAGAAAACACAGAAGCAGCCACAGCCTCCCCCAGCCCAGTTCCCCACTCCAGGCCTCCCCTTGCTTTTTCCAAGAACAAGTATGTAGGGTTTAACTGTCCAATAGGGACATAGCGGCCACAGTGTGGGAGAAGATGCCCCGACCCCAGATCAGTATAGCCTCAAAGTGCAAACCCCATGGAAGCTGGCTGTCCAGCATGTCACCTCTGCTTAAGGTTGCTGGTACTGAGGTCAGTGTCCCTCAGCTCAATAACCCTCCTGTCTAACTCTGCCTGATTGGCTGTTCTCTCTGAATTCCTCTCCTTCTGGACCTAGCTCTTGGTGGGAGTTCTTGGGAGTTCCTAAGGAGGGGCAGCTTTGTAGGTGCAGGTGGGGCCTGAGGCCTCCAGGCCACTTTGGAGGGCAGGGCCAAGCCAGGCTAGATCCCACATAGCAGGCTCTCTTTTTGATTGAGACAGGGACTATGCATGGATTTAACTGTGGGTCTCAGAATAACCCCAAATTCAAAAATTCTATGCTGTTCTCTTTTGTAATCAGTACTTCAGGAAAACTTCTAATTGAATCCAAAATATGCAGAGACTGCAATCTGACACCACACCCCACTACAGTATCTCAGCTCCCTGCCCCCCTGCCATGGGTCAGTACTGGGACTGAGCTGTGACCCTGGGCACTGGGTGTGATAGCTCAGGGCTGTGACTGTGCCCTGGAGCAGTGAGAAGAATCCTAGCAGCACACAAAGTGGAGAGGCCTCCTCTCCTGCCGGCTGCCCTGCACTGAGCCTTTGCTGACTTCCTGGCCTTAGTTACTGCTGGAAGGGAAGCACTGGGGACTCCATTTGGGCAGGGACCACTTCCTTTCTTTGATCTTGGGACCCATTTTCCTTAAAGGCATACTAACTGACCAACCATCTTGTGGTTCGCTGTGGTTAGTTGGCCCCTCATGACCTGGACGGAGCTTTTTCAGGTGGTCTGACCACATGTTAGGTGCTGTTCAGATAGCAAGATAAAACCAAAAGCACTTTAAAAATGTTATGTTTCAAAGCCGGGCGGTGGTGGCGCACGCCTTTAATCCCAGCACTCGGGAGGCAGAGGCAGGTGGATCTCTGTGAGTTCGAGGCCAGCCTGGTCTACAAGAGCTAGTTCCAGGACAGGAACCAAAAGCTACGGAGAAACCCTGTCTCAAAAAATCAAAATAAAATAAAATAAAATAAAATAAAAATGTTATGTTTCACCACTCTGTTTATGCAGGAATGCACAAGTTACAGCCTAGGTGTAGCGGTCATGGGACAGCTTTATGGACACAGAGCTCTTTCCAGTTTTACCTGGGACTGGGATTGAGTCAAGTGGTCAGGGTGGGTACATCTAGTGTGCTTCTCCCTCATGGAGCGATCCTGCTGGTATAAATGGCACTTTCTCTTCACCACAGTTAAACAACTAGTGTCCCCCAAGGACGGGATCTTCATACTAGTGAGTTGGTTTTCTGTGCTCTGCTAAAATACTCTGGCATCGCGACTTAAGTAGGGAGTTTGCCTCACAGTTTCAGACCACAGTCTGTCAAGAAGCCAAGGTGGCAGCAGCTAGAGGGAACTGGTCACATCAAATCCACAGTCAAGCAGCACAGACTGGGCCAGCCAGAAGACTCAGGGTAAACCAGTTTGTCACCACGCCTGATCCTGAGTTTAGTCCTCCTGTCTCACATGAGGAAGGCTTGATTCCTGTAAGCTGTCTTCTGATCTCTACAAGGTAACCGTGTCTTCTGAACACACAGGCACAGGCACCTTTGAATCAGACTCTTTGTGTGCCAAACGCATTGGCCCAATCAGAGACCCAAGCTTAGCTGGGGCAGTATTTTATGATAGCAGAGGTTGGGGTGAGGCATTTCTAAGGTTTAGGACCCCTGATTGGCTGACATTTGTCTAGGGGTGTCTTGGTGAAAGGGGTGGGTGTGCTGGGCTAAGGGACATCAGGTGCTCCTAGGGACATTAGGAATTTCTTTTGGATGGTCTGTTCCTGGGTGGTGCCTGGGTGGGCTCATTTTTTGGTCTTTCTTGGAACCAGGTATTGTCTTAGGGTAAACTCCAGAGACTCAGGCCTACTTTATGGTTGGTTTCTATAGAGTCTGTCTTGGCAGGTGTGTGCCAAGCTACCCTGGGCTCTTGTTGCAACATTGTTTTAAATAAAATAAAATCATTCATCTTTTAAATATAGAATTTGTTTGGTGCTCTTTCCCTGATGGTCTCGAACTTCACAACACCTGGAAGAGGTTTAGATCAGAGTCCCTTGGAAAGGACAGGCTCTGCTGAGCTGCCTATAGACTGTGCGGTGGGCCCAGGTTCCCAGCGTTTGTGAGCTGGGGTGGGTCTTGCTCTGCTCCTGTAAGTAACCCCTCACATGTAATCCTATGAGAAATCCCATAACGTTCTTACTTCACCACGTGGGCATTTAGTGGTATCTGTACTTTGGTTGGTCAGGAGATTTCTAAAGGTGTGTATCGCATCTCCCCAGGAAAAGTTTTGTCAGACATTACATGACACCAGATTTCTGTGTGCCTCCTTCTCCTCCTCCCTGAGAAAACCGTCTATTACATGTGCCTGTTCTGGGTCTGCAGTGAGTTAGTTGGATGTGGTTGATGAGGAATAGCGTGTGACATTCAGTGTGTGTGGCCTTGCATTTGCTTTATAGGTGTCCTGAGGCATCGCACAGAGAGGGCCTTGCTGGGCTCCTGTGGCAAGAGAGCTGATAGAGGGCAGGGATGGGCAGCCCAACTCCAGAGGCTCCGGCCTCATGGCTGAAGCCCTTAGAGACTCCTGAGTGAGACTGCCTGACTGGAAATCATGCTGCAGAGACTGGCTTCTCCACTGTGGAGATAGGCGGTCCTGAACCTGATTGCACTGCGGAGACACACAAACCTAGGTGGGTCTTCCAGTCACGACAGTTTGGGAAGTATGGACAGCAGGCTCTAAAACCCCATCACTGCCTCATTGTTGCCTCATTCGGGCTGATTTGGAGACTGTGAAGCCAGAGCGTCCTGTTTCTGTCATTCTGCCTAAAATCCTTGGCCAGGGTTGTTCTGAAGTGAGTATTTTTTGCCTGTCTCTGTGTTTTTGTATCTTGGGGAGGGGAGGAATGTCAAGATGGAAGATTGGGAGGCTGTTTCCAAGTGACGCTGTGAAAAATTCAGGAAGGGCCCAGGAATCACAAGAGAAGCGATTGATAGCTGGAAAGCAGAGGGAACGAGGCTAGGCAGTGACTCCAGCCCCAGGTCCCCTTGTGGGGTCCCCAGATGGGCAAAGCGAAGACCAGCCACCCCGGCACTGGATAAGCCTACAGGTCATGAAATCATAGTTGTTAGGGTCCACGAGAAGTCCCATAAGAGACCACCATCACTTTCCAAGAGCATTTATTAATAAAAAACACTACCAACAAGTTGGGGTGATACATGGCGATACCCCAAGAAGCTTGCAGGCTCCCTTTTAAACCAAGTTAGGGGAATTCCAGGGAGGAGAGATTAGTTTGGGGGTGACTGGTGCAGGGAGATTAGTCTGGGGGTGACTGATGGGTGACTTTAGTAGTTCAGGATTCTCCAATGGCAGGGTAAGGAAAACTTTCTTCAGCTAGCCAGAGGCTATTGTCTTCTGCAGCCAGCAGAAGGCTGTGGGGACCTGCTGGTTGTTTGTCCCTGAGTTGTGGTTTTCCCAAGAGCTGCATTCTCAGCTCCAGCCACCTCCAGTAAGACAAAACTAAGGCCTGGTCCCTGGCAGGGGCTGTTAGAAACCTGTAATGGGGCGGGGGGGGGGGGGGGGGGCTGGAGAGATGGCTCTGTGGTTAAGAGTGCTGACTGCTCTTCCAGAGGACCCAGGTTCAATTCCTACCACCCACATGGCAGTTAACAGCTGTCGATAACTCCAAGATCTGACACCCTCAGATAGACATACATGCAGGCAAAACACCAATCCAAATAAAATAAAAATAAATAAAAAAGAAAAAAAAGAAACCTGTAATGGTTCTGGTCCTCTCAATCATGAAGTCAGGGGTCAGGGTGTGCCGTGCCTCAGCTCCTGGGTAGGGGTATAATGCACGGGCTGATCTGCAGAGGGTAAATGATCATGGACATGCGGATAAGTTCAGGTGGCAGAGGCTCAGGCTGTGAGGGGCATGGGTGTCAGACATCTATCCTGTCTCCTCTGACACAGAGCATACCCTATCAATCGAGGGTAATTTTGAAGGCCTGTTGATGTGGGGTTCCCCTCTAGATGCTGTGAATATGTTTCATTACCATTGGTTAATAAAGAAGCTGCCCTGTGGCAATGCAGAATATAGTGAGGTGAAATCCAAGCAGAGAGAGAGAAGGAAAGAAGGCAGAGTCAGGCAGATGCCATGCAGATGCCACGTAGAAGCAAGACGTAACAAACCACGAGTCTTGTGGTAAAATAATAATAGAAATTGGTT